AGTTTGGGGGTTTAGAACACATTTTGTGTAATTATAACAATGTGATTTATGACTCTGTTACACATGTTATCCAGGGATTTCTGTTTTTAACCTCTTAAGCCCCAAGGGAGTTTCTGAGCTTCCTGCTCAAAAATGTAATGCCCAAATTTAATTGATTATTTCTCTGCAATTACAAACTCTGTCCTAATAAAGGTCATCTTATCTTATCTTATCTTACATTTGGTTCCAGGATTTCAGTAACCAACATATAAACATCATCTGTGCAAAGATTTATGTTTCTAAAGTGAAACAGTGAAAAATTACTGCCCTGTCAATACATGAATATCCAGAGGTTGTACAAAAATGTCCAATTTTGGCACGCAACTGGACACCATGCCAGTTGAATTTTTTAGGTATTAAAGAGCAGAAATTAATACATTTTATTAACAGGCCTAAAATGCTTTTTTTTTTTTAATATATTTTTGAAGAATTAACCACACATTTACATGGTAATGGCCCTTTTCTGCAGTGCACATGAAGCTAATTGGTCTCTGGCCCTTTAAACTCCGAGGGGCTGTAACTTTGGTTTCTTTTGGTCAGTTTGCATGATTGACACCTCTTTTTAATCAGTTTAGCCAATAGAATCAAAGTAATGATGCCATGTCACGTCACTTCAACCAATCAGATGTTGCAATGCCAAAACCCACGTGGGCCCAAATTTGCAGCTTGTGGCTTCTGTCCAGTCACGTGTCTGTAGGTGGGTCTAAAATGGAGGTTGTTGGCTCTGAAGGCATGGCTAGGTAGGCATGGTAACTACTGATAATCACGTGGCTACCGGCTACCAGTGAAAATAACAGCAGAGGGTAAGCCAATCTCCATCTTACACATTTGCGCTGCTGTGTGTTTTTGTGGTTTTCTTTTGCGGCTCATTCAGTGAATTTTGGTCTGAGCGTGGTGAAACTTGATGTGTGGATTCAGTGATAGCTCTGGAAGCTAACCAGCCTATCTTTAGCCGGTTACATGAAGTCTGGAGAATTTCCAGTTCGGTTTTGTTTGTTTAGTGGTCTTCTGCGCATTTACGTAACTGCTTGTTAAATCATGGCTTGTTTTCGATGTGTTTGGTGGTTGTAGAAATGGTTTATGTGACATTTTAGCTGAGATTCAGAGGTTTCTGTGGATACCACACATGTCTGGACTTATATTTCTCACCCCGTCTTATATCCAATTAAACGTGATCTCCTCCCAGGGCGTGGGGCTTAAGTGGTTAAGAAATGCCTGCAGTGGCTCTCTTCCACAGCTTATCCTGTCTTCCTTTTCTCTCTCCAACCTGTAGCAGCAGATGGCCCCGCCCCTCCCTGAGCCAGGTTCTTCCTGTTTCTTCCTGTTAAAAGGGAGTTTTTCCTTCCCACCGTCACCAACGTGCTTGCTCATAGGGGGTCATATGATTGTTGGGTTTATCTCTGTATGTATGTATGTATGTCTATCAGAATACAGTTCAAACCAGCACAGTTCGGTTCCTTTAATGCCGATACTGTATTCCAGTAATAGTAAATTCACAGAGTACCTATCATCTCCAATTTTGTACCATCCAGCGAGTGGAAATAGATCACAAGGAAACATCTCACTAACTTTCTCTTGGGCAATACGACGTTGGAGCAAAGAGGAAATGTTATTTAATCCTGCATTTACATATTTCACGTTGTGCATTTATTTGATAAGTTTCTCTGCAAAGGAGTTTTCACAAAATATTAAATATGATCATTTTTGTGACCCAACACTCAGTTTTTGCTATCTTGCACCCATCTCATTCAGCTGTTGAGGCACAGCATTTTAACAGCTAATGTACAGTGTCAGTGATTTAAATAGAGTTCGCCACAGCAGAGACGATGAAGACCAAAAAAAGAACAAAGAATAGCATGTCTTTTGGACACTTGCAGCATTTCCTGTCTTGATATCCTGTATTGCTGGAATTGCTATTAGCCTGAATAGACACTGACATTTACCTGAAGAATAAAACTCAGTCCCTCATTATAATCTCACTGTTTCCTTTGTAATTGCCTATGACAGTTACGTGGTTGTTGTCCATGTGTCGTTAGTCCAGACGCCCCTTGTGATAAGCTTCTGAGTGCAGATAGGTTGCAGTCCTGAGGCGCCTGTCATAAATAAAATGCATTACCACTGCGGCTGCACCGTTATAACCTCCTCTCGGCTGTGCTCTCCTGTCTCATCACCCTGCTGACCACAGAGGTGAAGTGGTTACACAGTGTGAATGTGCGCATTTGCACATTCTTGTTTGTGTCTATTTGACATTTTAAAGCTAAAAATAAAATTACTGGTCCACCACGATGATTTTCAACTCAACCCTTTTGTCATTTAATTTAATGTTCAGATGATGTTGCTTGCTCTTCTACCATTAAAAATTAGATTTAAAAATGCTTAGCTATATAAGCAGTTTAATTGGAAATACTTTCTGCAGAGCTGTTTTGTCCTTCCCTGAATGATTTATGATTCTGTAACACTTTTGAGAGCATTTCCAAACACATGAAATAACCTGACATTGAATTAGTTGTTGTAAATAATAATAATCTTCAATAGTTCATTTACATGAACACACGAGTCATCTGACGTTTGGTTTTTGGCTACTAAACTGTTTGCTGTAGCAAATTTTAACGTTGTATAATCTGTGATAGACTAATGGATTGGAATTATTTAGTTCGTCTTGTATCAGGCCAAATGCTAGAATATTGTCCTTGGAGATATGAGTGATTGTACCTTCTGTGTGCTTTTAAGGACATATTTAGCTTATGAAAGCTGTTCTGTCCTTGCCTTCATGCTAATGCCCCAAACAAGGCCTTGACTTTCTACGTTGTTCTCAGGCAGCCAGCCGACCAGAAGACAGGATCAAACATGGGAGGAGGAGATCTCAGCGACTGGAGTCAGATGCTCTTTCATCTCTTCTCTGCCATGCCAGCACACACTCTAATGCTTCATTTTCCCCACGCACAGGGGAGGGAGTCTCCACAAAGAGAGCTTTCTGAGCGAACTCTCTCCGTGTCTATCTCTCGTTTTCAATTCCGCTTTAACTGGTTCATCCCTGATAGAAATATGGATCAAGATAGACTTAGTTATGCGCTCCAATTTTGTATGCATCTCTCCCCCCTGATGTGGAAAAGAGTAAATATGTGCTTATTGCTGCTTTTCCTCTCAAGAGAACCCGGAGCTTTTGCCGACTGTGATTGCACCGAATGGTTTTGTCTGAATGGACTATTGCACAAATGAGGCTATAGTCATTTCTTTGTTTCTTTCGGAGCAATATTCAGAACATTTGTTACATCCAACCTCTGTGAATTGTAGCCACTTTCAAGGTCACCTGAATGAGATTTGGTTTCTTTATGTGTAAAGGTCAGTCTCTCTTTACATAGTGTCGACTAGTGTTTGCTTCCCACTGCTCTCCATTTCACAGCCTTTCAGAACTGAAAAAGAGAGAAAAACATATTTGCTCCATCCTCTGGTTCTGAAGTCTTTTGAATTTCAGCTGATCTCTATACTATAAAAAGGTAGATGTTCTGTGTTTGGTCTGTCTTATTAGAAATCTGTTGCCTATGGGCGACACAAAAAATATTAATAAAGACTGAGATTAAAATGCTAAAGTAGCTTCACAGAGAGTTTGAACACCCAGGCTAAATAAAGCAAACCTCCAGAGGTGAAAGATGTCACAGAAATCTAAGAATATCCAATTTACTGCTACTTATTAGGATAAATACCAATCATTTACATGATATAGATTTACACTGGAGTAACAAGGCAAAGAAATTTCATGATATCAAATTGCCTTGAGCAAATTTAGTCAGAGTTTGCTATTTCGAATCTGCAGACATACAGGATTTAATTATGCTGAATTAGCAGCCTCGAAGAAGATGTGTAAAATTTGAATGTTCAATCAAAATGGAAAGTATCTTCAGCTGGAGAAATTTGGCCTGGGAGATGAATGAATACATTTTATACCAGAGAGAGAGAGAGGGAGGGAGAGAGACAGCGGGAGAAATAAAAATACAAATTTCAAACGCTTACAGTCTCATCTAATCTGTTCTATTGAAATTATGTGAAATTATCATATCCTGGCAGGCTAGAAAAAAAGAGCACTTTGGAGGTTCTCAGTGATATCAGTTAAATAAATTTGAACTCTTTAACTTGAGTAAGCCTCCAGTGAGTCTGGCTGATTCCAGTTCACCTCTCAGCATTAGTCTTTGATCTCTGACCTTGAATTTCAAAATATCGGAGCATATGTGAAAATCATGTAATAGGAGACAAAAAGGAAAACGGTGGGCTGACTTAGCTACTCGAGGTAACCGAGTAATTATTTAGTGTACTGTGATTTGTGGAGTGATTGTGCATTCTGACTTTGGGTTAGAGGTGGGCGGATCGACCCAAATATCGTTAGGATTGATACCAAAGCACTGATATCGCATCAGTACGAGTGCAGCAGGATTGATACTTTGTTTCTATCCTCTGAGTTCAGTAAATAGTTCAATGAAAAATGTGTTAAATAAAGTATTGTTTTGGAAATAAAAATCAGCATCTGAACCTTTTAATCTTTTATTATTCTAATTTTTCTTTTTCTTCTTCTTTTTTTTTTTTACTGTTGGACGTCATATGTCAGAGGTAATATTTAAAATCGGTACAGGTATTATAATAAAAAGAAAATTTCTCAAAGTGTTGTAGATATCAGATTTTTATCTTATTTTTATTTTTTTAACCAAACTAAGAATTGCTAAAACTCTTTCTTCTATAGTTTCATTTTATTTGTGTTAATTTTCCAACTTTAAAAATTCATCAGTTTTTATTATTATTTAAAAAAAAAATTTCACATTTAGTTTTCGTTTCATTTTACTTAACTATAATCACCTTGGTTGGTATTATTAGACATAAACCTTCAGTTGAAGTAGTTGTATTGTACGTATAGGTCATGTTTATTATACGCTTGGTCAAAATTATATTAGTGATACTGGCTGATGTGAAAGGCCATTAGTAACCTACACTTGTAGAAAATATGTTGCCTCTATGGATGTTTATCAAAAAAGCTGTTTATCAGCAGCTCCATTTCATATCAGCGAGTAGCCTTTCCTCTTTGTTCCCTGGTGTTCACAGATGCCTGTCACGTCACCATGAAAAAACAAGAGAAAGGGAGAGCATGACACAGATGCATCCCCCCTGACTGACAGACAAGCAGGCTGAGAGGTGTAGCTGATCCCTGAGAAGCACTGCGGGCTTAATATCCCCTCTATATCCTCTCCTTGCGCCGTCTGGTGCCACGAGGCTCAGGTCTGACGTCAGTGTTATTTCTGTCCATCTCTTGGTCAGGGAGGGTTCATCATTTCAAATGCATTATTCACACCGGCAGCATAAACCTAGACAGATCTTATCTCAATAGGGCAAAGCAACCATCACCCCTGGCACACTGGCTGCATAAACAGAAAAGGCTCTGGCTTCACTGTTTTTCACAAATACTCACAGAAGGACTTCTCAAGAAAAAGGAGGGACTTCTGGGAAACCCATGGTCTTTTTAGTTCTGATGTCTTAAATGGTCCTACAAACAATGTCAGGTTATTCAGCAGTGACTGATGTTTTGAATGTCAACGGGCATTGTGCTCCACACCTTGTTAGATAAGCTTTCCTTTCCCCAAAGAATCCACAAAAATCTGAGCTACACATCCTCATGCTCAATGAATACAGGATAAAACACATTATTTTCACTCATGCAATCAAATGCAATTACAGTTCAGCGTAATATTGGAAACATGACTCTTAATCTCCTTTTTGTCAATGTGTTTGTTGTTGTTTTTCCTCAGTGCATTGGTGATCGTTAAGTCATTTTATTATCTGTACTTTCTTTCCTTGTTTATAGTTTACATCCTGTTTTTTTTATCTGCAGCCATCCTGTTATTGAAAAGTACACAAAAACAATGGCAGCATATTGCTGTGTTGAAGCCCTTCATTTCAGTTGTAAATCCACTATAAGAGCATCATAAAAAAAACTTTTGATTTCTATTCAGTAGGAAGAAAATATAAAAATTTGTTTAAGACTTTTCTCACTGTAACGTCATCACAAATGGGCGAACATTATAAAGATATTGAAAAATTAAGTCTACACCCACATGAACTTTCACAGTTACCAAATGATGATAAGCCTTTCCCAGAAAAGAACGATTTTATAGATACTATTTAAATTATGCACAATATGGTTTTACCATAGTTTAACATCAGTTCTGTAGCACAGCAACGAGCTTTAAAAACACTACTTTACTATTTATGCATCAGCCAGTCAAAAAACAATGTTAGCAGTAGTTTGGGACAGCCAGATAAAAACAAGTGTGATTATTATTATTTTACATCAGCTTGGCCCTCCTAAAGATTAATGTAGATCTGTAATCTACAGCTTATATTATTATTACAACAGTTCCTCTTTGTTCTCCATTTATATTTGAGCAACAGGTCTGTAATGTTTGCTTATTTTTTTTGTTTTCTTTTTAATGACGCTCTACCTGCCATTAAAAGTCCACTACAAGACCCTCCGCTGCTCTGTAAGTCAAACCCCAACGACTTCTTCCAACAATGCTTTCATGTGACTCTCTGCACTAGTGTCTGAGAGCTGTTCAAAGACCACAATCTACACCTGTAATTTCTGCTCGTATAATAAATGCAGTGCTTTCTATCATTACCATCAGCACCATATTACATTTTAATTATTACATGTTTTATTTAATTCTGATTTCTGGCTTTTACAGAGCGATTACACTGTCTTAAACAGAATGGAACTTACTCTCTTTTTCAGCTTAGTTAGCCATTATTCATATCATTCCTCCCCTTTAGCTTAGTGTATATACTTGACTGTGGGGTTGAGAAGAAAGGCTCATTACCGATGTACACAGCAGCCATCAGCTGCATCTCTTAATACCATAATTGTTAATTTTTATGATACAGGATTATGGCCTGTGTTCAGAATGAAATCCAAGGTCTTGTAGAACAACAAACAAACGTAGACTCCCCCACTAAAATCCACTGGCAGACTCAGTCCTAGTTGAGTACGTAGTGTGAGTCTGTGTGACCAGACTGTGTGTGTGTGTATTCCTCAGCTAGTGTCAGTTCAGTGTCAGTGTCTCCTGTTTTCCATTAGGCGTCGGTAAAAACTCAGCTCTGATAAAAATATTTGGAACAATTCACTATGCATGCCTTCATGAAGACACTGTGTCTAGGTTAATGTGCGTGTACGTGTGTAGCAGTGACTTTTCATGAATAGCTTTACATAAATGAGATTCACGTAACCTCGTTTAGCCATTTTCCCCATTTTTGTTTTATTTTATTTTCCCCAGAGCAACTTTGCTCCTCTGTGCTTTTGTTTCCCTTCCCATCTGTATGGCATATGGCCTGATAGGCAGATGTGATGCTTTTTGTACTTTAAACCTGATAGGTAACTTGGCGTTTTTGTCATTCAGATCACTATCTTGATTGCTTTCTGTTGCTTTGATGACCTGAGGGTGGCTAGCTAGTGAACATGGTGACCAGCTTTGTCTGTTTTTTTTGCCAAACAAAAATACAATCAATCCCTGCACCACAAGCTCCAAACACACCAGTGCTCTGGCTTTTACACACACACACACACACACACACACACACACACACACACACACACACACACACCTTTAGTGATTGCTTAGACTAATTAACAGTTTAGCTGTTGGTATAATTGTCAGGAGAGCAGAGAGACACGCTGGGTTTGCTGGATCCTCATTTTTTTCTATAATTGGGACTGGCTGGTGAGGTCAAAGCATTTTTCTTTTATATTTTATCATCAGATAAACCGAGCCTCCGACAGCATTAAGCCTTAAGCAAAACATGGATCAAAGCAAAATATTATCTTCATTATCTTCACCGTATGTATTTTAATGCTTCATAATTTATTTTTATTAAGTCTGAAGGCATCCTTTACTTTGAAAGTTTCTTTTCCCCCCTTGTAGGTTTTCAAAAATTACATACTGCGTTTAATTCCAATATTCTCCTAAATTATAAATGTAGTGTAGATTTACTGGCTTTTATTGTTTAAAGTATGTTGTTTCACTTCACTTGGATGAGTGGGCCGTGCCATAATGGAGACTACTACAATCACTGGACTTTCTGCATGTAAACACTGCCATAGCAAAACAAAGTGAAGGTAAAAAAAAAAATCCACCAATTAGCTTTTGATGTTGTTATCCTGTTAACACAAACAATTTCAGGTACTGTGCAAACTTTTATCAAAGCACACAGTGGATACTTATGTTTCCACATAATTCCAAAATCATATTTCATAGTCGTGATGTCGTCCATATCGTCTGACAATGTAGAAAAAAGCTGTAATTTAATGAAACATTAATAAGAATACATTATATAAGTCGAATCTAAAATATTTGGTATGACCACATTTATTCTTTCACACAGCTTGAACTCTCTATCAATTTCTTTAAGCAGGCTTCAGGAATAGTTCTCCAGGCTTCTAGAAAGACATTCAAAGCTCTTCTTTGGATGTTTTCTGCCTTTTGTTCCATGCTCTGTCTCATATGGCTTCACTAATGTGAAGCTCAGCCTATGGGGAGCCAGTTCATGACTGGTATTGTTCCATTGTGTGTTTTTCTATCCAGGTATGCTTTAACTGCACTGGCAGGGTATTTGGGATCATTGTCATGCTGAAGAATGAAGCCATTGCCAGTCCAGCAATTTCCAGATGGTATTGCACAGTGGATTAAGATCTGAAATGCAGTCCACTGTGTTTTGCAGAATGCTATAGACTGTTGGTACCTCTGTCCTGCAGTCCAGGTCTTTTGTAATTTGCCTTTTATTCCTGTTTCCCTTCCTTAGGAATGACTTCTCGCTGGCCACCCTTTGACTGAGAATATTTCTAATGAACCTGAGCAAATAGATGGATCGGCTGAAGAGTCACATGCATCTTGCGTCAGGTCTTATTAAGGACATGGCTTTTTGATACTGTGTATCAGCTGTAGATGGTGTTTTTAGGCATGCCGCTTCTTCTTTTTTCTAAACTTGTCCCATTTCCTCAAATTTTTAAGGAAATGCTGCAAACCAGCATATATGCTGTTAGTTTTTAGCCCATAGCTCTGTATGAATCACATTACCAAAGACACCATTTTCTGCCTGTCCAACTGTTTCATTTTTGTGTTTGTTTGTTTGTTTGCATGGATTTAATTCCTTTTAGTTTTATTTATTTTAAGATTTGCTTTTGGTGTTTATTAGATAGGAGAGTACAGGAAAGTAAGGAGAGAACAACGTGCAGGAGATTCCAGACTCAAACCCAGATCCCTGCAGAAGTCTTTTATGGACGGATTGCTCCTCAGCCAGGTGAGCTATACTGCACAGAGGTATAGTTTAAACTAATTCCTTGTTGTGTATGTCAGCATGCTGACAGTGTCAAATGACTTAACAAAAAAACAAACAAGCAAATCTGGGAAAAAGGAGCCAATGTCCAAAGAAACACTCAAACAAGTGAGGGGCGTCTCAGTGCTTTTGCACAGTACTGTAAGTGTCTGTTAGACTTTCACTTGCTCAGTTGTGACCCATGTCTGGATGTTTCAGTTGGATGTGTAGGCATTTTTTCTCTACCTAGAATGACACAAAGAGCTAATATAAGGACTTGTAATAATAAATAACAAAATAATAATTATTTCTCAAACTCTTGAATGATGGCATATTTTCGAATACCGCACATTGTAGTGAAACTGAAAATAAATGTGGCCTGTGTGATTGTTTTGACCACAGCTTGTACAGCTTGTTTCCATTATCCACATGGAAAACTGATTCCCACTTCCACATCCAGCAGAGAAATGTTGGAATTCGTTTACTATCCAGCACTATTCAATATTCATACTTCCTGGCATTGGACAGTCTGGCTAGTCTGATGTGTGTTTTTAGAGAGTTTTGTGTTTTTTCCTTGATGCTTCTGCTTCTTAGTGCACAGAGATTAAACCAAATACAGCTGCAGGCCCTAAAATAAAGAGCTACAAATGCATTACATTGGATTGCAGTGATAGACAACTTGAACATTTAAAATACCATAGTTATTTAATCTCTTGGTATTGTAAAAATGCAGATTGCTGGATCTGTAAGTTTTCTATTTACATGTATATTCTTATGTTTGGTATCACAGTCCATTCAAGCTCTTATCTGACCCATTTTTCACAGTCACAGGGTTATTTTCTTCTGATTGTGATGTCTGTGTCTTGTTTCCAGCTTGCACACAATGCAGACTGCAAAACCCAAAGCTCTCAGACTGTTTTTCACATATATGCATTTATACAAATAACAGTTCTTGATGACCCAACAAAAACATGCGGCTATGGTAGCTAGACCAAAGATACTGTGAGTATTCTGTGCTCTGCTGTACGACACACTCACTGTATCCAGCCTATTTTTGTGTGTTTCGTCTCTCAGCAGGCCTCATTCAAATTGGATGTAATGTAATGTAAATAAGCCAGGATGCAGCTACCGTGTAAGCGGTTAAGACCAGGAAGCCTGGCAGGCACTGACTGGAAGGGGAGCCTGGACAAAGGAACATAAAGGCCCAAACACAAAGACAAATCAGGCATAAAAGGGAGAGCCACAACAGCTGACTTTATTTACACAGTAATTGGATGTTTTTGTCTCCATCAAATGCGACCTGCTAAAGAACGCATTAGGAAAAAAATAAAACTAAAGATGTCTTTGGATTGTCCCCTCCCTTTCCCTTTTTATTTTAAATGACTTCATTAATTAACCTCAGTTTGCAGACAAGAGGTTCATCTAAACATACAGAGCCAATTTGATGCCTCCTGCCTCGCACTGCTGGAACGTCTCTGGAAAGTTTGGGGGTTCCCCTTTGAATACGGATTCAGGGAATCTCAGTTAATTTTTAAGGCAACGTTATATTCCTGCTTTGAGCTGTTAGACATTATTTGACATGTCGTCTGGTGGTTAGCGTTTATTTTGAAGTAATTGCTTCTGAAAGCAGGGTGGAAGGGATTTCATTAGTTCCCTTGCCCCTGTCTCACAGCAAACACTTTACCTGGACTCATTAAGCATCAGACATGACACTTCACAGAGACTACTCTGCCAGCATTCAGGCTGTTACTATGCCAAGGTCTGCCCTCTTGGAATAACCTGCCAAAGCTGCGTGCGTTGTTTCCTTTGTGCCTGATATGTTTTCTTCCCCTTTTGGTGGCGCACGTTTGTCTTTCAACTGAGGATTTAGATAAGGCAACGGTAACGCAGGGTTAACTATCGAATTTAATGATTTCAATGGCTGAAAAATGCTAAGCCATCACAGTTATTTGATAAAGATCTGAAGGGTTCGAACATTGTAAAACCTGTTTTCCTTCTCTGTTTTACCCTCAGGGATCCTGCACCTTAAAATAGATGCACTTGTGGGCTTGATTCAAGCAGTCTGCAATCAGTCAATATTTATGAATATGAACGACCATGTGATTATGGTAAAAAACACAAATAGCTGTGGGGCTACTCGCTTTATCCTAAATTAAAAATATGAACTCTCATGATGTTCCATATCAGCATGGACATAAAGATTTTATTAAATTAACTCAAGTGCTTGGGTGAACATATATTTTCTCATATTTTGAGCGACTCTGACATATTTGGACTTCAGTGATTATTTGGCTGTCTTGTATGGGAGAAACTTTGACATGCATAGTCTGAATTGCAAATGAAATACATTTCTGTTCGAGTTTGACCCATTTTTTTAAATCTTGTGCGTTTTATCAAACACAAAAACCCGCAACAGAAGAACTGAATGATATAACAGCAGGCTATGATTCACTATATGATGGAAACCCTCCTGCAGGTTGCCCTTCAGGCTGCACCCTGATGGAGTATGTAAAGATTTTAAGTGTTTTAAAAGGGTCTGTGGGTAGAAAATTGCACATTGTCAAGGAACTCAGAGAAAGGGGAAGTAGTAAACACTGCTACATGCATGATGAGTGTTTAACAAGTAAGTCAGACCTTAATGAGAATAACAAAAGACCATATACTTGCCTGTACGTAAGACTATATGTCTATATGCACCATCATCTCTGCGGTATTTCTTTTATGCTGCATTCAGCCACATACCAAACTTTGACGCTGTGTGGCTTTAGGCAGTCTGAGTGGTAGTAGACTAGCAGGAGAGGGGGGAGAAGAGGGAGTCTTCATCATGTCTCATTTCAGCCTCCCAGTGCCCTCTGGCGGTGCTCAGAGCAGGCGGTACCCAACCAACTCCTCATTTCTTCCTGAGCTAGTCTCTCCATTAATAGCTTAGTGCCGCTCCAACTCCATTGTTATTCCTGCCTGGCTGCATCCTGCAGTAAGGATGATGCATGTTTATCAGACCAGAAATATTGTGCAAATCTGCCTCGTGAGAATGAACGCTGAAAAGAACGCGTCCTCTGACTCCAGATGTCATCCTCTTGTGTGCTATAACTTTGCCTTGAACAATCTCTTTGACCTTTTCTCTGCAGCTCTCTAAAAGCTTCGGTCATTTAGGCCAAAGATAAATAGTGTGCTTTTACTTGTTACACTCTTAGGCCAGACCAGATTTTTCTAGATCTTGTGGAGTTGGAGCCTTTGAAAGAAACTGTGGGTATGGATTCATTTGATAGTTTAAAAGCTGACTTGCAAAATCCAGCACACAGATCTATCAGTCCTCTGCACATCCTGTAGTTTGTGACATGATGCTTTATGCTGAAATTGATTACTGGCATGTCATGCACGCGTACGCTCACACGCAAAAACACTTTGAACTTGTAGAGTCAGCTTTGTTTAAAACCTCAAAGGAATTGGATAAGTAATTGTCATTGAATCTGCATAATAAGGACACTATGTCATCTGAATTCAGATGGCCAGCTCGCCCTAATGATCTGTTACTTTTTCTGTTACTCATGAGCCAATCAACACATTAGTATCACATTTCTATTTTCACTGTCTGTCATTAAAAACACATTTTCCTCTCACCTCAATGTGAATGGAGCTGTTTCTCTTAAATAAATCAAATAATTGGAATTGCATTGTTTTATCAAGATTTTTTTTTTTTTTTTTTACAAAATTCGGCCCAATACAATGTGTAACTAAATCCTGATGTCTTGCCTGTTTTATGTTTTATATTCATAAATTAGAATTTATTATTATACGCCTCTCAAAAGCTATTTATTTTTTCCTGCAGACAGGAATAGATGAGTCGTGTGTTTGAAATCTAGAGAAACAATAAAAAACTCTTGTTGAATGGATATTGAAAGATTTCCGTCACAACTTGAAGCCGTTAAGGAGGTTTATTTTGAGGAAAACTGTAATTTTGATTGATGGTTTTATTAGAGGGATTTTTTTCTGCTTAAGCTCTGATGTGAAGAAGACTGTATTGTCAGCTGTGACAGATGATGTGGATAGCGTTGTATAAGAGCGCTCTCTACAGGCAGTGTGAGAAATTGCAACATACAGCCTTTCTATTTCCTGATGCCGAGGCTTTGCTGAGTGTCACCAAATTGCGGAAATAACGAAATAGCTAAACGTGAAGTAAAGCATGGGTAACAGAAGTACTTATACAATATTTAAATGCAATATCATGTTATGACACCAGTTATTTTATATCTATTCAAATTAGCATAAAAAATAAAAAAAAGAAAAACAGAAAGATGCGTTGACTGTTCAGAGACAAGACATCCAATTGGTTCCAGTTCTTTCTACAATGCAACAAAATTGTAAATAGTGATGGCTCAATTTGACTTTTGGCATGTTGACATGTAAGTTTAGTTAAAAAAAAAAACAAACATCCAGGAACAATAAACACAACATCTCCCTTATAGTTATAAAAAAAATGCTATTATGGAGTGTTGTGAATGACTACATGGCTAAATGCAGTCTCCCATCATGCCTCTGTGTCACTGTGTTTCATATTTAGTTTAAGGACATCGTGTTTGCTGTGCTTGTTTTGGTTCTTTAGCTTTCATTGTTTGTTCCTGTTAATGCGGCAGCGTTGTTTTAACTTACAGCTATAGTTGTGCTGAAAACGATGTTACACCATGCCTGAAATTATGTGCAAGGTTACTGACCTGTGCTTTCCATTGGAAGCAGACTGGATTTGAAAGAATGCTTTCAAAAAAAAATACAAAAAAAAGTTACAAAAAAAGTATTCAGTGACTTCTTGATGCATTCTCAATCATCCAGGAAAGTAAATCTCCAAAAATTGTGTTCATAATTAGGATTAAGGAACTGACCTCCCAGCCCATTGTTCCCTCAGTGGGCTGGTTTCAGTCATTATGCAAATGTACTGTTTATAAGATTTGGGGAAACCTGCAGTCAGCTGAGACTGAAGAAGTCACCTGGATGAGTGACGAAACGTTTCTCCCACAAAACGCTACGTCCAGATGAACAGAAGCAACTTTTGGAGATTCAGTGACTTGTTACCGTGGGATTCTTCAGTTACTACAACACTACAAATGTTTTGACATGATATAAATTTATTCTGCAGTCTCTCTATAGGAGCAGTAGAACTTTGTGAAAAACAATATATCTTGTGATCACAAAAAAATCCAGTGTTGTAGAGACATTAATTTCTATTGGCTAGCGTAGCATAACATGAGTTACATCAGGGTTAAAAGCTGCATTACAAATTCAGACAAATGCAGTGAAAACAAAAACTGAACCCTGGACTTCTACAAATAAATCCAATAGTACCTTTGCCTCACTGCCACATTTCTACACAAGTGGGAGTGGTTTCTGTCTCATTTATGGGTGTGGTGAGGCAATGCATGTAGTTAGTATTTTACCCGTGGTTTAACATTTGTGCACACAAAACAGTGGTGGATACATTAGGAACTCCTCTTAAGGTGAGTTCTCAAGGCTACAAACAAAGCTTCAAAAATTAACAAGTCTTGGGAGAAACTGTACGCTAATCTGTTAGAGACAAAGCAGCCTGACAATATGTATGATCACTGTCATATGTTTGTTTCCCTTGCAGAAGGAGTTACTACACAGCTTTGGTGTTTAAAATACCGTAAGTGAAAGCCACGACAAAGATATTCGACAATAATTTTAGTAGAATTAATTATTTTGTGCTGTTTTAATCTCCAGGAGCCTTTTTTGTCCTGTTCATGGTAGAAAAGTGAGAGAAGATTTTCCAACATGCAGGCTGCAGGTGACTTTCTAAATGTATTCAACACTGAGGCCAGCAAGATATCTGTGACACTCTTCCTCATTTTTCTTGGTCTCCTCTACTGGTGAGTAAATAAATGTTAGGTGGCTTATTTGTGATGTTCATTGTTCAGTAGAAATGAGGTCACTTATATATTTGCGTGTCATAAGGCAAACAGTTTATGGCAAACAGTATCATAAAGCACATACATTGACATTTTATAGAGCAGACAGTGCAAACGAATGCAACAATAACTCTAGACAGAATCCAGGTAAAGGTGAGCTCTGTTCTTTACTGCATTTGATATAAATTCTTTTCATTCAACCTACAAACAACACATTTCAACACTTTTGCCTGTAGGTATTCAGTCCGTCCCTTCTCAGTCCTCTCACGATGTGGCATCAAACATCCAAAGCCAGTGCCTTTCTTTGGGAACTTATTTATGTTTCAGCAGGTAAGATACAGTGTAACAAAGGAAGACCAGAGTTACCTTCAACATCTGCTTGATTTTGCATCAAACAGGGATGGTTCCCTTGTTCCTACTTTGTGTCATTGTTAAAAGATTGTCAGCTGACTGTTACATCGACTGTATTTTTTTAATTCTTCTTTTCAGGGTTTTTTCAAACCTCTGAATGATCTTATCAAAACATATGGTAAAGTATGTGGGTAAGTAAAAACACATCCTACAACAACAACTACTGAAATTGTGAATATTTTGCTTCTATAAACGATCTACAGTTTTTTGAGTTTATTGATTAATCTACAGAGTGAAATGAGATGACACTTTACACTTGGTTGGTCACTAAAGTATACGCTGCATATTTCAGGTATTATTTGGGCCGCAGACCAGTGGTAGTGGTAGCAGACCCTGATATGCTCAGACAAGTGCTGGTGAAGGACTTCAGCAGCTTCCCTAATAGAAGGGTGAGAACATTATATAGAGCATGTAGATGCATGATGTGAGTTTATTTCTGATTCTCACACAAATAACTGAGCAGTTATTACACATTTTGTGCCTGTGCTCTCTTATTTCTCTGGGCAGAGATTTGTGTTTGCCAAAAAGCCTATATCCGATTGCTTGCTCCAGTTAAAGAATGAACGCTGGAAACGAGTGCGGAGCGTCCTGACCCCATCTTTCAGTGCTGCCAAGATGAAAGAAGTGAGAAAATAAAGATTCCTCATATATCCAAGACAGATAAGATAAGATATGAACTAGAAGATCAACAAGATTCCTTTAATTAAGCTGAGGACTTTTACCTATAAGAGAATGATTTGAATCTTGTGTGTATCCAAAACTCAGTGCCATTTTTTTCTCTCCTGTTTAAGTCAGTTTACAAATTTCATAATTTATGTGTTTGTTATTTATTTTTACATCGCCCCCATCTTTAGCTTACACAATGTTTGAAATGAGGAAGTAAAAAACTCAAAGTTTCTGGTAAAAGAGCTAAACATCCAGTTCTTGCTGGTGTTTCTTTGTAACTTTTATTAATACATAATTTGTATCATTTAAGTGTAAATTTAAATACATTTACTATTAACTTTGTACCTTCTTTATGTCTTCATTTCAACTGGTCAGCAAGTTAAATATTTTTCTTTGTGACCAGAAGGAACTCATAAACCTTTAAACACCCAGCGTTCACTTTTGCAGTTGGTTACTGCATGTCTGCATCTTTTGCAATATGTGTAGTTTAAGTGTCTGTGCTGTTGTGTTTATGGAGCTACCTTTCCCCCATTTTCTATGTTTATGGACCTATGATGATTCACTGGAGTATATAGAGCTGGTTTACATCTGTCCTTATCTCTCCACTTGAGTGTAGATGGTTCCGCTCATCAAAACAGCCACTGATGCCCTGATGAAGAATCTGAATGTCCACGCTGAGTCAGGAGAGGCCTTTGACATCCATAGGTAAAGCAAAAATTAAAATAATATTTTTTTGTGTTTTTTTTTCTGTCATTGTTCATATTTTTCTGATAGCATGCCATCTTTCAGATACTTTGGCTACTTTACCATGGATGTTATTGCCAGTGTGGCATTTGCAACTCAGGTGGACTCGCAGAACAACCCAGATGACCCGTTTGTCCAACACGCTCAGATTGCCTTCACCAATAATTTCTTCAGGCCTATTTTGTTACTTTTCTGTGAGTCATTATTATAAAATTAATGAAACTGAGATATGTAAATGGGACAATAATAAAACAAGATGAGGGCAAAGAAAATAAAAAGGAATGTGGGGAATTCCCTAAAGTTATAGTTAAGCATGATAAATAATTCTATGTATTGAGTATGAAGCATTTTTGTTGATATACCTGTGTATGCAGTTCTCTGCTGATTTGTGTGTTTCTGTCTTTAGTTGCTTTTCCCTCCATCATGGCTCCTCTGTCGAGGTTCATACCCAGCAAAAGACAAGACAAGATGAATAATTTCTTCATTAACAGCATTCACAAAATCATCAAACAGAGAGAGGAGCAGCCTCCTGAGCAGGTGAATCTCAGACTTTCCTAAATCTGTGTGTGGCTTTGAAACTGTCATTTTCCTATCTTTCTTATTTATTTATTTTACACGTAGAGGCGTAGAGACTTCCTTCAGCTGATATTAGATGCTCGAGCCACTGAAGAGTGTGTGTCATTGGAGCACTTTGACACATCAAACGATGCTCATGAGACTGATGTCAGGAACCAGCAGACCCAGTCTTCAGGCACAGTTCAAGAAAACGGGAGCCAGCAGGAGCAGTCTGTCAGGCGTCCACAGAAAAAGATGATGACTGAGGATGAGATTGTTGGTCAGGCAGTAATCTTCCTCCTGGCAGGCTATGAAACCAGTAGCAACACTCTGGCGTTCACCTGCTACCTCTTGGCCCTCCACCCTGAATGTCAACTCAAAGTACAGAAAGAGGTGGATGATTTCTACACTAGACATGTGAGTGTTTTACAGTTGGTTCTGATCTATTTTGATTCATGCAGTTGTGGACAGTCATTGATTGTCATGCTGTTTGCTTTGTAGGACTCACCTGATTACACAAATGTGCAGGAGCTGAAGTATTTGGACATGGTTATATGTGAAGCATTACGCCTCTACCCTCCTGGATTCAGGTAAAGAAGGATGTCAATTGGATATGAAGGTTGGCCACAGTGTGGCCTGGAGTCGTATGCTGTGACTTTGGAAGATTTTCAGTTTTGGCTTTTTTTGAAACATTAGTAGTAAGACTACACACTTTTGGAGCAGGAGTTGCAAGTTCAATTTCCACCCATTATTCATTAAGGGTCCTGGCTAGACTCCCCATGCTAAAACAAAAAACCCCAAAGCCCTCGAATAGCGCAGCTACGTTTGCAGCCTGTCCGAAGCTCCAATGCAAGCATTTCACTACATGTTGTACTCTTTATGATTGTGTATGTGACAAATAAAAGTTGTTTGTTTGTAGATTTTCGTGGGGTATAGCCATAATCCTATCATCGGTAAAAACTCTATCGTCATTATTATTATTATCATCATCATTGTTATAATTACTGACGCGGTTGCAAGATCAAACATTAGTGCATTTCAGTAATACAGATGTTTTCTGACTTTGGGACGTTAAGGCTCAGGTTCTGTTCATATTTGGTTGCAGATGCATTAAAATATGTTCAGTAACTATCAGTACACTTAAACTCATCTTCCTTAAATGGACACAAGTACAGAGAAACAGAGAGGAGGACATGACTGCAACTATAAATGACAGCTAAAGTCAATAGAGTGGTGGGGAAACACTTCATGCTGACAGTTACAGCTCTTATGAATATGCTGAGTCCAATTATAACTGTGTGGAATAAAGAAAACAGTATTTGGATTCTGTAAAACAATCTTTTTTGTCATATTTTGTCCCACTAAGGTTTGCACGAGAAATAGAACATGACTGTGTGGTGAATGGTCAGCAACTTCCTAAAGGAGCAATACTGGATATCCCTGCAGGCTTCCTCCATTATGACCCAGAACACTGGCCCGAGCCTGAGAAGTTCATTCCTGAGAGGTGCTTCAGTTCTGTCTGAAACGAGTAAAAAGACTGACTTGTGTTTACTGAAATAATGACCAGGTGCCGAAAATTCACATTTAAAAATAGCACCAATTGAAGTTAACTTTGAAGTGAGTCACAGCCATTCAAATGTTGACTTATTAACACGAATAACAGCTGTATATTAACAACATACACATGGAATATTTTTCTGTACAGTGGTACAAATACAATTGTTAAGGTGTGGTAAACACTTTTGTGTAGTGACATTATAACACGTGCAACCCACAAATACAACCTCAATTCAAATGTTGGGACACAGTGTAAAATGTAAAGTAAAACAATGCGTTTACAAATCTTATAAACATATATTTCATTCACAATAGGACAAGACTGAAAACATTTAAACTGAGACATTTTATTATTTCATGAAACAACATTTGCTCATGTTGTTTTTGTTGGCAGCTTTGAAGTTGTGACACTGCGATATTTACCAGTTAGTAGTATGCCCTCTTCTTAACAACAGTCTGAGGAGACCAGCTGCTGGACCTTTGGGAGAAGAATGTTGTCTCATTCTTGTCTGATACTGTATAAGACCCTCGATGCTCAACAGTCTTAGGACTTCTTTTTTGCACTTTGCACTTTCATGATGTGCTAAATGTTTTCAGTTGGTAAAAGGTGCAGACTGCAGACAGGCCAGTTCAGCATCTGGATTTGTTGTTTGTAAATCAATGCATTCTGTTTTCTTTACACACTGTAAAAGATTTTTGGAACTGGGACTGAACCACGCATGGGATTTCCTTTATTTTCCAATGCTTTTCATTCTTCTTTAAAAAAAAACTTGCTGTTGTTTTCCAGGTTTACACCAGAGGCCAAGGCCGCTCGACATCCATTCGTATACCTACCATTTGGAGCTGGCCCTCGTAACTGTGTGGGAATGAGACTCGCCCAGCTTGAAATCAAAATGGCTTTAATGCATCTGTTCCACAACTTCAGCATAAAAGCCTGTTCTGATACTAAGGTAGGATGCAATAAGAGAAAACCCATACATTTTCATTAAAGTAATTCCTACACTGGATAACTGTAAGACTGTTGAATTTATAACTACAAGCATATAATTCTACAACCACTGTTTACTGTGAATTACACTGAAAAAACTGAAAACATCAATATATTTGTATATTATGCCGTAAGGTAACCACCGGTAAGAAAACCTATCTTTAAATTTAGGTTTTAGTGGAAGCATGACCAAAAACTACTCTCACATGTCCTTTAATTGTTTTTTGCTTTAATGTCATATACAATTTTGGACTGTCAGTATTATCAGCTGCAAATAATGACTATGCTGGAGTTTATTGGACATTTGAAACTGCCATAAGCTGCAAATAGCCATGTAATCCTATGACTACTGGTTAGATACACATTTGTCAGATGCTTCCATTTTTAAGATATTTTTACACAAATATGTGGAAGATGTTCTCTTTTTATCTTCAGGTCCCTCTTGAGTTGAAGTCATCCAGCACTCTTGGACCCAAAAATGGTGTTTTTGTGAAAATCACAAGAAGAGAACAAGGAGCTCATCTGTCATCAGCTGATTAAATCATTTACACCATACTGAAACATAACAATCTCTTACTGTATGTCCATCAGTTCAGTGGCACTTGTTTCATTTATAGTCAGGACTTGGTAGATGTTTGAAAAAATGCAACACTGAAATATTTAGACTTAAATATAATAAGGGATTGACTGATAATTAATGCAAATGTTTCTCAGGCACATATAAATTGTAATTTTGTGATTACAACTGTTTGAGAATGAGAGAAATGAAACATGACAATATATCTGATATTATTCTTTATTAAAGCACGTACAAATAAAGTGGATGAAATCACTACTTTTTGCAAATCATAAAATACTAAATCTTTTTTGACAGCAAAGTTGATTTAATCTGGCACATTCTAAATTCTTTCAGGTGGATTGGGACACAGTGTCTACACACATTGTGCGCAGACACAGTGTCTACACACATTGTGCGCGAGCACTCTCTACAGACAATGAAAGGAATTGCAACATGCAGCATTTATATCATCCCCAATGCTGAGATTTTCAGTGCTGGTTGTAAACAGAATTGTGCAAATAATGAAAAGAACACATTTTGTGAAATTGTGCAGTTTTTATATTCATGTGAAATTTTCTGTATTGAAATAAAAATCTGTCTATCAGTAAAAATAGGTGTAAAAACATCTATCTTGTACCATTTAGACAACCTTCATGACTCTTTAGAGACAAAACATCTGATCCAAATTTTCTCTGCACGACAAAATCAATACTGGTGATGTCTCAACTTTGTATTGCACGAAGAGGAAGAATCGACTGAGAAAGTTTAACTTTGATGAAAAACTGTGGCAGGTTTTCCAAGGTGTTTTGAGGCTCTACTTGTGTAAAAAGGCTGTCAAACAGCCAGGAATGGCAAAGACAAGTTAAGCCTCCCGCTTTATAGCTGCAAAAAAGAAAATAATTTTATGAATATTTTGGCATCTTCAGTTTAGTCTTTTTGTGTCACTTTATGTCACTTTTGATAGACGTTTTTTCTTGTCATCAAATAAAGCTCCTGTGTTGCATATTGTTCTCGCATCTTCTTTCTTCAAGAAGTAATTTTCTTTGGCTAGCGTAACATTACATGAGTTACATCAGGGTTAAAAACTGCAATACAGGTTCAGACAGTTGACTAAAGAAAAGCAAAGCTGAACTATGGACCCCTAAAAGTTTGTGCAATAGCAGCTCTTTAACTCGTTACCTTTACCCTGCTCTGTCTCATTTATGGAGGTGGTGAGGCAATCCAAATCTGTAGTTACTATTTTATCTGTGGTTTAACATTTGTGTGCACAAAACAGAAGTGGATACAATAGGAACAGACATCTCTCCTCTTCAGGTGAGTTCTCAAGGCTACAAAAAAAGCTTCAGTAAGTAGAAAGTCTTGGAAGAAACCACACAACTGATCGGGGACAAAGCGGCTTGACAACATGGAATAGATGTATGGTCTTTGGCAGGTGTTTATTTCCCCAAAAGCCTGAATTTCTGCACAATACCTTTAAATGCTTTGTTCTAGTGAAAGTCATGACTAAAGTATTGAATAAAAATATTAGTATAACTAATTCTTTTTTGCTGTTTTTCTCTCCAGGGGCCTTTTTCTCTTATTAATGATTGAAAACTGAGAGAAGATTTTCCAACATGCAGGCTGCAGGTGACTTTCTAAATGTATTCAACACTGAGACCAGCAAAATATCTGTGACACTCTTCCTCATTTTTCTTGGTCTCCTCTACTGGTGAGTATGTCAATGATACACTTTTTTCAAGGGAAATAAGGACACGTAGATAATCTGCTAGTGCCATAAAACACATACATTGACATTTTATAGAGCAGGCAGTGCAAACGAATGCAACAATAACTCTAGACAGAATCCAGGTAAAGGTGAGCTCTGTTCTTTACTGCATTTGACACAAATTCTTTTCATTCAACCTACAAACAACACATTTCAACACTTTTGCCTGTAGGTATTCAGTCCATCCCTTCTCAGTCCTCTCACGATGTGGCATCAAACATCCAAAGCCAGTGCCTTTCTTTGGCAACTTATTCATGTTTCAGCAGGTAAGATACAGTGTAACAAAGGAAGACCAGAGTTACCTTCAATGTCTGCTTGATTTTGCATCAAACTGGGATGGTTCCCTTGTTCTCATATTTGTGTCATTATTGTCAGCTGACTGTTACATCTACTGTGTTTTTCAAATATTCTTTTCAGGGTTTTTTCAAACCTCTGAATGATCTTGTCAAAACATATGGTAAAGTATGTGGGTAAGTAAAAATACATCCTACAACAGAAACTACTGAAATAAGATTGTGAATATTTTGCTTCTATAAATAATCTGCAGTTTGAGATGATACTTTACCCATCATGTTTTGTCTGGACTCATACTTCAGGTATTATTTGGGCCGGACACCAGTGATAGTGGTAGCAGACCCTGATATGCTCAGACAATTGCTGGTGAAGGACTTCAGCAACTTCCCCAACAGAAATGTAAGGAAATTATACAAAGCAAAGATGCAACATGTGTGTTTATTCCTGATTGTCACACAAGAGTTACTGAGGGGTTATTACAGATTGTTTTGCCTGTGCTCTCTTATCTCTCTGCAGAGATTTGTGTTTGCCAAAAAGCCTGTATCTGATTGCCTTCTCCAGTTAAGGAATGAACAGTGGAAACGAGTACGGAGTGTCCTGACCCCATCTTTCAGTGCTGCCAAGATGAAAGAAGTGAGAAAATAAAGTTCTCATTAAGTGAGATAAGATAAGATGAGATAAGATACATGACATCACATCTCATCTTCTGGTGCTTATCCGGGTTTGGGTCGCCAGTGCAACATTCTGAGACAGGAAGGTCAAATTTCTCACCCCAGTCACCTCTTCCAGCTCATCTGGGGGGACGTAGACCGGTAACTCGAGAGCTTCACTTTTATCCTAAGCTCTCTCTTCTCTCTTGCAAGCTACTCATGAACAACATCCCAAGATACTTAAATCCCTCCACCTGGGACAGTAACTTGTCCATGACCCAGAGTGGCCACTCCACTCTTTTCCAGCTGTGAACCATGGTCTTGGATTGGAGGTGCTAATTCTCATTCATGCTGCTTTGTACTCAGCCACGAACCGCTCCAGTGCAAACTGGAAGTCATCACCTAATGAAGCCAAAACGCTAAGATGAAATCCTGAGGCCACCAAAGTGGAAATCCCCCCACCACCTGGATACAACTAGATATTCTGTCCAGGAAACACCCAACACATCCAGGTTTTTGCTGCAGCCACTGCCTGAGCCGTGTTCCACTTGGCCTATTGGCACCCAAGAGCTGTTCCTGGAGTCCTACAGGCTAGCCAAGCCTGACAGGCTTCCTTCTTCAGCTTGATACCTCCTTTTACCTCCGGTGTCCACCATTCGGTTTGTTTACCACCAAGGTACAAAACACCTTACAGTTGCAGCTCAGTGCAGCAGCCTCAGCTGTGGAGGTGCTGAACATGGTCTATTCAGACACCCTCACTACACGTTTGGGTGCACCAGGTTTGTCCAGCATCCTCCCTCCCCACCTGATCCAACTCACCACCAGGTGGTGATCAGTTGGCAGTTCCTTTCTTCACTCGAGTGTCCAGAACATACAGCCACAGATCTGATGATACAATAATAAAATTGATTGAAATTTATGTTTGAACATGGTGGGAGGGGTGGACAGACGTGTGGTTATTTGCACAGGAACGCACACGGCTGGAGATCGCTATTCCCCCGCACTCATGGAGAAAAACATGCCTAGTGCTCCTCCGACTCGTGATACGGCAGGACCGTCGTAAAAGCATGTGACGTCATCACCGCAGCAAACAGTAAGAACAAAGTGGAACTTATCGGCAGAAATTAACATTGCACTTATAGCGATGCGATTGAAATATAAGGAGACTTTCGGACAGTAACTGAAGGTAAAATGCAGCTAAACAGTCCTGTTTTAAACCAGGCACTTCCACCTCCGCTCTGCTGCGTCTCAGCCAGCAGCGCTCTGGCAGCAACAGCGCTAGAGCCAGAGCAGGGGAGAGTGGAGCTGGAACAAACCAAATGTTATGTCTCAACCAAGTACTGTATGCTTTTTATATTTTTAGCAGCGTGTCACACAAATAGCAAATATTGTCAAAAAAAGTAAGAAATCTTTGGGGGTGCTTTGATTGGGCTAAAATCGCCCCTGGCATAACAGAATAACCACCCCAGCCTGCTGCCTCTCAGCGAGAGCAACTCCAGGCTGTAGTGATGGGAATTCTGGCTCTTTTTAGAGAGCCGGCTCTTTCGGCTCGACTCACTAAAAAGAGCCGGCTCTTTCAGCTCCCAACCGGCTCTTCAGGTTGTTTTGTTGCTTTAATTAATTTATTATTAACAATAATATAAAATTATGCACAAAAGG